CGCTCTGGCTAGCCGAACAACCTCCTCGTGGTGCCAGCTGGGTGGTTCGGGTTTAACCCGTTCCAGCAAATCGTTCGGCGGCAGTGTTCCAGGACGTGGTGGGTTTTCGCCTGGCAAGCGTTCTCCCTATAAAAAGCCACAAACGTCTGCTTATCAACACTGTGACGTGGCGGATGGGACTCGCCACAAAATAAGGTCACTGGCCCGTGGATATCCGGAAAGTGCTATCCAACCCAAGGACATCAATCGCTTATGCTCACATTCCTGACGACAACAAACATTCAAAAATGCTGCGGCACATTCAAAGACACAAGCTACATTCATACACAATTACATACGCATTTACACCCGTACACTTACATATATTGTTATGCCAAACATGTACTTTTGTACGTTATTGATCACACTGTTAGCTAAACATGATCATGCCTGTAAAGGTGTGTCTCGCATGGTCGAGAATAAAAGTTTATTTATTTATTATTAAGTTAAGCACCAGCCGCTCCTGCTCTTCTGTTAGCCTCCGGTTTCTCGCATACAGCCAAGGCTTCCCAACGTGAAAGCTGTGCGAATGCCACAGATACGCATTCCCAGTTTCGTAACCTTCGCCCTTATACGTAACAGAAAATCGCGCACGGCAATCGTAACATCGGTACCTATAGTAATCTTATCATGAGGCAATTACAATGTACTTACTGCTTTCCTGTAACATTGCTGCGCCTCCCATGCACACATACAAACAAAATATACCGGTATGGGCATCCTTCCGGTAGCACATGTCCAGTCTCCCTTTCGTACGCCTTCGCAGTTTGAACGTTCCGACGAACAAACGATGTCGCCGTTTCAATCTGAAACACTTTCAGATCCTTCTTCACCGATGCGATGTCCAGATAAGGACCCTTAAGCATACGTCGGAATACAAGCGAGTCATCCACCATGGCTGCTACGCGTGAGGCGGGAAAATGCTTAACCATCGTAACGCATTTAAACCCCTTAGTAAATTGATTACTAATTGAGGTCATAGGATTTCAGCAAGCATCCTCAATTATTAATAAACAACACTATGGGTTCAATGTCCCCAAGTCTACCTCACATTACCTGCAACCCTGTGTACCGGAATAACACTGCCGAAGGAGCGTTATTTCCAAGTGGCGGATAGGACGCTCTTATTGCAGCGCAGCTGAAATGTCCAGGGTTGTCTGCAAACACGCCACATGTTTCACCACGGTAGCCGTAGGCTAACCTAAAATGTCAAATTTTACTATTATTCCTTCATCGCATAGGAAAGATTATTTGCTTTCAGGCACCAAATTGTGTACTCTAAGTTAACAATCTACTGCACAATTTTACAGGTTTAAATACTGTTTGTAACGCAAACTAATTGTTTATCGCCGTAAATGGAAAAACCAACCTTTATATTGCTCGAATTGTTTCATTTCGTGTCTACTACTTGAAGTGGAATTACTCGCTACAGACTAGTGGGGTTCTATTCCTCCGGTCCGGCTTTCTAACTTCTTCCGTGCCCATTGGGCCCGCAACACAAAAGAAGTACCGCTTAAACAGCCGGATGCTTAAATGCCTAATACGTGGCCGATGTAGGGAAGGCAGCTAAGGAAGCCCGAAACCTTGAAGGAAAATTGTCGGAGAGGAATACGAGGGTAAGCGTTACAAGAAGGAAAAATCACCGACCACTTGACTGTTAACGTGTTCCCATGACGCCAGAGCAGCGACTACAGTGGAACGCTACTGTGAACTATAACCAACTGTGTATATTAGTGCCGTAAAACAGCAGTAATGTCGGAACATATTGTCGTAGTTAAGAAAAAACGAGATGTAATCTGCTTAGTTAAAGGCAATCAACGTATTATATTTCGTATTTATGTTATTTTTCTTAAAACTTGCCTACCGCCAGATAAGAGTCCAGCATCTGTAGCACAAAAGCAACTGCGTCAGATAGTTTAAAGTAGTCTTTGGTTTTTATGTTTTTTTCCATTTGGTTCTTACAGATCCCGGTAGATCGAACGAACGTTGGATGAACAGGTCCTATGACCCTCTTGTTTGACCGACACGAACTCTTGTTTTGTGGAATTACTTAACCAGTATGTTGTCGAATTTATTGAGGCACATTAAATAAGGCATGACCCAATTTACAGGCAGTTATGTTTCGCAACAAATACGTTGCAATGTATGTAATCGGCGGCTTCCGAACTTTGTACAGGATGCAAAAATGGAAGAAGTAATCATGAGGAAATATAGCTGTCAGCGGATAACGCAAGTTTGGGTTTAAGTGTGCATAGTGCATACAGTACGGGCACTATAAATGTAATGGAGATGATATGAGTAGGTACGGCTTACCTTTATCTTGTAGTATCAAGGAAATAGTGAATTATGACTTCAGTCGACATGCCAATGTGTAGTTGTAGGTATAACTTTATCAACTAACGAGGTACAGCCACCACGTCGCAGTGTTGTTAGACGGACTCTTGTGGCCTTTTATAAAGTGAACGCACGCCAATCAAAAACCCACCACGTCCTGGAACACTGGCGTAAATCCCTTTGGACGCCAATGTAAAACCGGCAAAATATCTCATAGACCAGTTGTTCGGTTCCGTTCTGCGAACTTGTGACCGCTAAACGTGTTCTCTCTGCCTTCGTTCGTTTTGCTTCCAGCTCCCCGGAGTGGTGGCTTTGTGTGAGCACCGTCTCACTAGCTTGATTTTTCCGTGTTTTGGGTCAAGTGCTGAATGGGAGCTTTGGCCACCTCATCCTTTTCACAAGCGGAATTCCACAGGGGTCTGCTCTCGGACCGGACATATTCCTAGCCTACATTGATGACGTCACACCTCAAGAGGAGTCTTCGCTGCTGCTATATGCGGATGAAGAGAAACTTTGGCGCAACTTAACATACCGGATGATGCCTACGCACTTCAGACAGACCTCCACCGTTTATGTCAGTGGTCGATAGCAAAAAACCTTCCATTGCACGCTTCGAAATGGCAGGTACTTCCTGCCCACCCTTCCGCTTAATCCCCTATATATTTCCAGGAAACGTCTATCTTCCAAATCTCGTGAGCCAAAATTGTCTTGGGTATCCTTACCCAGACGAGGCTTTCCATAGCCGCTTCCAGCCGGAAAGCAGCTTCTGCTGCGAACGGCACGGTGGGATTGCTAAAACGAACCTTCGGTCAAATGGGCCCTAGCAATTCCCGCCTCCATCTCAACGCTTTTCTTCGACCGCGCTAGGCGTTTGCTATTCTGGCTTGGAGCCCCCGGCTACTGAAGGATCAAAGTATACTCAAAACCCCACGATGTCTAGCAACGAAACTGGTCCGAGATCTCAAACACCTAACTTATTCACGATGACTTCATTGCCTGTAAACCTCTACTCGCCTAAGTACCGCCGTCCCTGGGACGATTTGATCCTTGTATTTATGACCATATCCAATCATAGACATCCTTGTTGCCACCTACTCACACTGCTCCTATTGTGCTCGCACCTACATGGCCACCCACTGAGGCTCGTACGTCAACAAAATCGGCTGAACTGCAGACGATACTCCTTCGCTTTGCGAAGCAGCCGACCCTGGAATGCTCTGCATGCTGCTTTAGTCTCGGCACCTAATATGACGGATTTTAACACCCGCATGGACTGTCACCTGGTCGCGCTACATCGCGATATTCCCTGGGGCAAGTGCCATCTACTTAGTGGAGTTTCTATTCTTTTTTCTCTTCTACCTAATTCCTTTCCAGAGCCGTTTCGGAGGACGTGGTGGGATGTCAAGCTTTGGCCGGCGTGATTTCTGTTGAAATGCCACCTAAGCCCGATGAAGGTACGGCTAACAAGCGAGTCCAACTGGCTACAACGTTCATCGGTTCATTGGTTCGGTGATGTGTAGGGAGAAAGTAGGGTGACCCTCGTCAACACCGTCGATTCCGATTCAGTGCACGTTTGACGCAACTGGCTGCGAAGCTGCATTCCTCTGGGGATCGTCGCCATTGCAGTAGAAGCAGCAAAGCACTACGGTACTCATCAGCTGGCAGTCAAGCAGCCGTTTGAAAATTGCGTCTGTCGGTGCATCAGAAATGACCTTCTGTGGGCTGTTCCAATCATTCACTACGCGAATTGATAGGGCAACCTCTGGCCTTTCAACAGACCCGAAGCTAACATGTTTGCCCCATGGGTCAAGTCAAGCACGAGCTTTTATTCCTATTGAATACAATGTTACAATGTCCCCAGGTGTTCAGACCGGGCTTCCAGTCCAAACCTGGAACCTTCAATGCCAAATTGGTTACACATCGTACGGTTGAGGGCTTGATGATGCAGATACGGTATTTGTGAGCCTGAACATTGATTCTTTTCTAATGGCAGTCTCACTAATTAGCATCGTAACTATAAGTGATTAAATGTATAAGAAGGCGTGAATGTATATCTAAGTGGTTTTACTGAGTCACTTTAAAATCGCTATGACGGTACAAGCGTGTTAAATATTTAACATGGCAGAAATAGAAGTTGAACCGACCATCCTAAAGAATTATGATATACATAAGCGATTGGGGAAAGGAGTACGTAATCAACGTCTATATTGCAGGGCCATGCTTAGGCATATGGTATTGTGTGGAAAGTCAGAAACAGAAAATCAGGTGTTGTGTATGCCTTGAAGAAGATATTTGATGCATTCAGAAACCAAACCGACGCTCAGGTGCGAAGACGCATCAACTGAACTATACCGCGTTTTAGAGAACATATCGTGAAATCACCTTTCTGCAGGAATTCTCCGGTCACCCAAACATCATCCGACTTTTAAATGTCATAAAGTCCGAAAATGATGAGGACATTTACCTAGTCTTTGAGTACATGGGTACGCTTTTAATGCCCAATGCGTAAAGCGATTATCAGAATCTGATTTGCACAAATGTATAAAGAAGGGCAATGTTTTGGATGATATACACAAGCGATATATTTTTTACCAGTTATTGAAAGCTATCAAGTTTATCCATTCTGCCAATGTGATACATCGGGATCTGAAAGTAGGTCATCTTATTATTCTAAGCACAGCATGCTCCCAAATAATCTTTTCGTAGTATTTGATCCCTTTGTATCCAATGGAGCACAATTCCAATATTTTAGCAGACGCGTAATATGGAATAAAATGTGTTTAGGCAGCTTAGCCCGCGTATAGTATATGGCCATGTGTCTCTGTTTTCATTTTTCTTCTGGGTATCTCTTCTCAAATTTTGGTGCTAGCACTATTTCGTTAGCACTCTTTATCTTCTGAGTTGGTAATTAAAAGCTAAACACTGGAGTGCTCTGAGTGAAAGTTTTTTATTAGTAGGTATCCCAATAATACACATTTTGAACGAATGTCTATCACTCAGGACATTATTCGGCGTAGCCTTAGCATATGCCACGAATGAACTTACCTGTTCGAAAATCTCGCCCCCACTTATTGGAAATGGAATAACAAAGCATCATACCATATTGCTGAGGACATGAGATTACACTCAACATTTGGTGTCTGATATGCGACTAAAATGTATACCTAGGACGGACAAGCGAACACAAATTTGGTATTCAGCACCAACCTATCGGCCATTCGTACTGACTGGGCGTAACAGTTTGTTGCAATGAAGCGAATTATGAGGTTATATTGGCGTGTGCTAACAGTGCATGAGGATATTTTAATGGCATATTTAGACAAAGCATGCTATTTGTTTTCTTAGTTTCCGCATATATTCTACTAATTTAGACGCTGCGCGGTGGGTAAACGTTAGAAACACCATGTGAAACCGTTAGAGTTTCTTTTTAACAACGCCAAAATTGCACTTTAAGATCAATTTGGTAAGGTTTGCCTGACCATGGTAAAATGCTTTTTCATTTTGAATGTGCAAGGTATTTGTCCAGTTTCCAGCGCAAATATAGATAGGCTTTTGTTATTGAGGTAGAAACATGTTACCGTTTTGCACTCTAATTTTAGCCTTCCAACGTACTGCTTGACTCTGCATGCAGAGCCAAATTGTGTGATTTTGGTCTCATGCGATCGTTAACAAACGTAACTGGGACAAATCAACCCTCATTTGAAGAGCTCTCCGATTCGGGAGTGCAATCCGGTGATCCAGAATTAACAGAATATGTAGCTACACGCTGGTATCGCGCACCTGAAATACTCCTTGCTTCAAACCGTTACACGAAGTTCGTTGACATGTGGAGCTTAGGTTGCATTCTCGCAGAAATGCTCCTAGGCAAACCCCTGTTCCCTGGAACTTCAACCATAAATCAGATTGAGAAAATTGTGTCTGCAATGCCGAAACCGACGACACAAGGTAAATCCATGGTTAATGACCCACTTAGCTTCTTGCTACATCGAGTTTTACCCACCCGAATCGATGTTTCACCATGCCACAGTAATGATTAGCTGACTGAAGGCACATATGAACATCAAAAACGATTATTTTTCACCAAAGATGCCACTTTGAATTTGCTCACAAGGTGGCGCAAGAAATAGCGTCATAGTAGCGCAGTATCGCCATCTCGGAAACCCCAATTAACGGAGCAGATTTTAGCTTGAGCCCAACCTCAAGATGTTTTATTAGTATTAGAACCTGCAAAGTATTCGTGTTAAACAACGCTTACTGTGATGCCAATCGCTCCAACGAGATCAAACTACATTCTATGGTAACTATCAATCATACCTTAGTTTACTTTGCCTATTCTTCCCAACCCGAAAAGGAAAAAGCGATAAAAAATCCCAGCAGTACAATGCTACGCAACTAAAAGCGTTCCCACAAGGGCTCGGTATACTTCGAGATCACCCGCACCTACGAAAATCCGAACCGTTGATCTTAGTATTATAACACACAGACACGTAGTTCTTTTGGAAACTGGCCAGGACTGAATCGATAAACGGTTGCTTCTTAGGGGATGCACGCTACCAAGGTTGTCCCCATGTTGCAGCTCTGCTACTGTCTTACTTCTAGTGGCAGCGGTGACTATTTCTGTTCTGATCGCACGTGAGATGAAAAAGCAGTAGTGAGCAACCAGTGGCAGCTGCTTAAAGCTTGGAGGTTCTAGACTGGCTACATGGTTCCCAATTACGGACCATAGGAGCCCGTAGAGCACTGTGTCAAACCCAACGTGACCTGCTGTAGAGCCATTAATCACTCACTTCGGCGACCAGAAGTGAGTACGTAACGGAGATTGGGTGAACAGCCTCGACGACTTCCGGTTTCCATGTGAACTCCGAGCAGTTTGAAGACTAAAGAGTCACCTTGCTGTCAGCGGCCTTCAAGCTTGGGAGCAATTACGGTAGTCCGGGTCACTGTGTCGCCTCTTTTCCGCTATAAAAGGGTTCTTTCTGAGTAGTTCGTTTCTACTCGAAAACCATTTATCTAACGGCTCGTGACATACTTTAATCGCAGCGCTGCATTTCTGGGTAGGTTTCAATGGCTTAAGGCTCCGGATGTGGTCCTTAAGTTACCCCCCATTTACGGTTTGAGTGATCGGGAGTTGACATCATCTATCTGGACTTCTCCAAAGTTTCGGCCGCCTGGATCAGCGTATCCAACTTCACCGACTACAGAGCTATGATATCGAAAATCCTGTGCATGGTTGGATTGGCAACTTTCTTCACCAACGGAAGTTTCAAGTGCACGTTTAGGAGTTCACTGTCTAACCCAATTGAGGTGAAATGTGGTGTCCCACAAGGCTCAGTGCTTGGATCGCGCTTATTCTTGGGGTTTATCAACGACCTGGCAAGACGTAGCTCCTCAAATTTCCTGATTTCTGCCGATGAAGTCAAAATATGGCACACGTTTAGTAACAAGGAAGATCACTATCTACCCCATCATGAGCTAGATTGCACTTATGAATGGTCAAAGAGGAACCTGCTTCAGTTGAACATATCTAAGTGCAAGGTAATCCATCTGCGTCACCAACCGGTGAGCGCTTACAAGCTTGGAGACCACACCTTTGAAAAGTCCTCTCAGGAGCGTGACCTGGATTTACTGGTACAGGAAGATGTCAGGTATCTAAAAGAAGCAGAGAAGGCGACGAGGGCCGGCAATCAATACTTCGGTCTGCTTCGCAGAGTCTTCGGTCGGTTTGAACCCTCAACCTTTCCTTGAATACTTAACGCCTACTGCACGTGGAATATGCTATCCAGGGATGGTAGCCGTGGCAGGAACAGGGTCTCGTTGCTCTCGAGACTTCTCAACAGAAGACAAGCAAGAACGTCAGGGGCCTTTTTCATCTGCTCTATCAGTTTACACTGAAATCTCCAAGAATGTAGAGCAGTTGATATCCGCTTTTGTGGGGGGGCGCATAATGGTTTACCAGATTCTGTTGAACCCAAAGCACGTTTGCCCTCTGCTAGCCTTTGAAACTGAAAATACAAAATAGCCGGCTTGAATGCCGTAGAAATTTCTTTTCTCTACCCTTGTGTTAGTTTTGTATCGCCCACCCTAATTATCTCGTCTCTGCTCCAAATCTGGCGATATTTAAAAAACGAGTTGATGATGCATTGGCTCATTTGCGTTTCATCTTATGACTTGTTAGCCAGGGGCTGCAAAACGCAATCAAACTGTGTCTTACCAAACTCCCAAACGATTGGTTTATGGATTTATACTTTTAATACGCCACCATCCCCGCTATTCTACATAGGTCTATGGTGAGTCCACCAAAACGCTTTTTACTTCATCATGCAATTTACTTTTCGCAATGAGTTCCACCCCACGGGACTCGTTAAGCATTGCTTTTTTACCCGTAATACACCATTGTTCCATTGTATCACAGACACAATCTCTTGTGCCGCCATTGTGTAAGCGGAAGGACGATGCGATTTAAATGGTGAAACAAGCGGCTAGCGTGCCGCAAATTACACAGCAGTTGATCGGATAGCCACGCATATTTAGTCCACGCATTGCTTGGTTCGCTGGAGCGGGTTTGTTTAACTGATTCAGAGGCAAGATCTCATGAGCACAGTAGCGTCGTTAGTTATGGAAATGACTTAGTTATTTACATGTTTGTACTGCTATCACTTTTGCTGAGCTCGCTTCGCCGGATAAACTGCTTGTCCATGTGGGACCGAATTCTACGACTTGCTGCCCTAGAAAACCAAGCCATGGTCACCCTATGGTGCTCAGTTGCTGATTGCTGCGCAACAGGCTGTGCAACCACCTGTCCCACTAAACGTGGACGAACAGAATTTAACCAATAATTGGAGAACCTGGAAAAGCAAGCGGATCGATTTTTGTGTACTGGTGTGTCTGAATGAACAACCGTTGGTGTATCGATTGGCCAGGTTACACATACGTTTAGAGATAAAGTACACCGCGTACTGGAAAAGATGCAGTACGAAAAGGACGAAGACCCAGCTGATCTGGGAACAGTCATCCGAAAATTCGGAGCCTTTTGCGAGGGCCAGACTAACGAGACGTATCAGCGGTATCCCTTTTTTACTCGAAATAGGCGCCCGAATGAATCTATAGAGAACTATGTTACGGTGCTGAAGATCATGGCTCGTTCCCGTAGCTGTTGCAATTGTATGGCTGACAGTCTCATCCGAGATAGAACCGTAGTTAGGATCAATAATGAAAACAACACCAAGCGGTTGTTGCGGCAACGACAGTTATCGCTCGGGCAATGCCTTGATATATGTCCTAGTGAATCATCAACTACACTCCAGATCCAGCAAAAGCGCTTGTCGACTGAAGCAGAGCTTTTTGCCGTAAACAATTTACCTGACAAAATTGCGAAACCTGTTACCTAGACACAAGGAAGTTGCAAATTACGCGCCGCGCGACACCCGAAGGATCGTGATCAATATTCGGTGTGGTGTTGAATCTGCGCCAAATAGAGCAGATGAAATTATTTTACTCCATGATGCCAGTCTCCCAATTGAATACACTCAGTCCTGACACAATCCCCTCCGACTTTAAATATTCAATCACCAACCCGTCGCAGACTGGACCGATGAAGTACATCTACACAAGTTCGTTGGTTGGTGACGAAATAGTGCGCTTCCAGCTAAACACCGGCGCTACATAATACCTGCAAAGCGGTGTCCAGGAATTCATGTGCGGCCAGATCAGCGCTTTTCTCGCATGTGGGACGGCTCCAAACTTCGAACGTAGGACATGGCCAAAATCGAAGTGATCAATCCCAAAGGCGGCATTTCACCTCAGTTTGATTTCGTGGTCTTGGAGGAACAGCTCACGCCGATTCTCGGTATTGATTTCATCCAGTGTCTTGGCTTTATGCATTTTAACCCTGATCGTTTTGTGCATACAGGTATTAATGAGCAGTATCCGTTCGTGTTTAACCCAGGTTTGATGAGGTTTAAAGGCTCCTTTCTTTTGGCACTAGACCCGTCATTACGACCGATTGCGCTGCGGGATAGAAGGGCTCCGTTTGCTTTACGTGATAAGTTCGCCACCGCAGTAAGTAACTTAACACAATTGGGTGTAATAGCTAAAGTCGACGGGTCGACAGTCTGGATTATCGAAGTCACGATTATTACGAAAAAGAGCGATAATTTGTCTCTGCATAGATCCTAAGCCATTGTATGGAGCTATACGAAGGGAACATGCGCTACCAAGGTTAGAAGATTTTCTTCCGCGTTTGGCTAAGGCAACGTATTTCACAAAAATGTATCTATCATAACGTTCTGCTACGTGGTCCTAGATGACGAACCCACTTTCTTGATTACTTTCGCCACACTTCAGGCGTTTTCGATGGGTACGGTTACCGCTTGATTCGACGGTCTCGAATGAAATTTTCCAATAGCGGTTACTGCAAGTTGCTAACAACCTAGACGGTGTAACATGTGTCATCATCCATATATGATTAAGCACGTTAGCTAGAGGTGGGAAACACCTCAGCTACTGTGCCGCAATACGTGGAGGAAAAGGAAAAGAAATACGACAGTTGCATGCCAGAGGAGCTACCAACAACGGATAGACATCGTTCCGGTAAGCTACCAGCCGGTTACTGGGAAAAAAGCAAAATTATTATGTATTACCCTATGAAATGAGATCGTGTGTGGCGAGGGAGGCTAAAAGGGATGAGGAGAGACAAAGGAACGCACAGCACGAAAGCCACTGTGATCGGCTCCTGACCATATCAGCACTTGTATCCAGACAAACGTGTGTCACCGTCTTTTGGACCCCAACCAGGAAGCCGAGAAGCTCCAACCGAGGCCAGCTCAAAAGTGAAGACCTACATTCCTCTGGATCAAGTCCTCACTTGGCCACCCCGCTTTTGCTATACGGTTCGTGATCTCGTCTTCCATCCCATGGGCGCTGATACAACTTCCCAGGTAGTTGAA